TATTCGATAAGTTATATAACATCCTAGGCTGAAAAGTCATCATCTTTCCTCCTTGGTTCCTATTTAATATATTCTATTTTATTTATTTTATTTTATTTTTTTTGTGTGTGAGGAAGATCAGCCCTGAGCTAACATCCATGCTAATACTCCTCTTTTTGCTGAGGAAGACCGGCTCTGAGCTAACATCTATTGCCACTCCTCCTCCTTTTTTTTTTCCCTGAAAGCCCCAGTAGATAGTTGTATGTCATAGTTGCACATCCTTCTAGTTGCTGTATCTGGGACGCAGCCTCAGCATGGCTGGAGAAGCAGTGCGTCGGTGCGCGCCCGGGATCCGAACCCCGGGCCACCAGTAGCGGAGCGCGCGCACTTAACCGCTAAGCCACGGGGCTGGCCCCAACATATTCTCGATTCACAATCACATTGACACATTAACTTCCACTTCACTTATAAATTGATGCTGTTGAAAATACACATAAAAAATTGCAAAGACTTTTGGACTGTGCATGACTGAGGTTCTTAGTTGTGTAAATGTTATCAGACATTTAGTGCTCTATGTGAAAGGACAGAGACAAATGGATAAGGTTCAATGGGGAAAATGACCAAGTGACATACTTAAAGAATAAAAATAAAATGTATAAATGCAATATGGGAGTAAATATTTTGAAGAAAATATAAAAGAATTCCTAGGAATTACTGTGACTTGCATCCAGTTTGAACTATTTTGCATCACAGAATAAAAACGGAAATAGAGAGAAATGATTTTGATCCTTTACCCAAGAATCTGGTAGCTTGTAAAAACATTATTTTCTATGAATGAGAAGAGATACAAAATAACACTTATAAATTACTCCTGTTTCACATAATACAAATATGTTAAGCCCAGGTATTTGGTATTCTGCTAATATTTATCTGAAAAAGACATTGAGAATTGAAGCTCCCTTGAGGCAGACATGTCAAACGTAAAGTGTATGATTCATTTACATGTAGTACAGTGCCTTTTATGTGCAAATGAATGAGACTCTAAAACACTTTCTAACATCTCTTATTTTCATTTGAATGCTGTAGGTGATGCATGTTTCATAGCCGTTATAATCCCAACCATTATCGTGTAAGATTAGAATCTGAATATGAAACAGGTTCCTGCTGGCAATGTCTAATATCCTTGGTGACAGAATAGAGACCATAGAATAGAGTACTCACGCCAGCTCAGGACCCTCACCAAATCTGAGAGTTGAATGGGAAATGTTCGCAGTTTTATCACAGAGTGCTTATATTTTCAGTAGTCAATTTTTTGGGGTATCTTCTCCCCACAAAACACATCTCTGTGGTGTTCAGGATCAGATGAGGGGTAAAGAAAGATGGAGCAGGAGGAACAGGCCAGGCAATAACAGGGCCAGACTCCCAGGTATATTTGATCATGTGCAGCAGGAACGGGCCTCGAGAAATGCCTAAGGCTTCTCTGTGTGAATGCACAGAGAGGAAGTAAAATAACTGTCTTATTTCCGCATTTGGTGCAAACTAGAAAATACAAGGTTCATTGGAGAAAAGAAAGAAGAATTGAGAAAATAACAAATAACTACTGCTAAAGTGAAATTTTCCTATACACTTTTATTTATACCATTTTCAAGAACAATTTGATAATAATTCATTGACTAAAATGGAAAAGGAATGCATGATTTAATGTTTCTCCAGGAAGATTAATGCAATCATGAGACCTCTTTTTGACCAGATGGGAGGCGAAATATGAATTATCAACTAGGGATCCAACCAAGGGAAACAGTGACTTAAGGACAAGAAATACTGAATATGTAGCCAGATACAATGTAAAAGTGATACAAGATTCACTGCAAATTAAGAAGCCATCCATTGATAGATACTTTCTTTCCAGTAAAGTTTTCCTAATGTTGCTAATGCTGTTGATGGTTAATTCAGCTCATAGCCTACATGTATGGTACCTGGAATGCTAGACTATATCCTCTGGGGGGTCATGGAACAAATGATAGCACCTATGGTACCCAGTTGTCTGGGACAAACTGGGCATGCACGGGCTTTGCATACTGAAGAGACCAGCCATAGACTCTAGCTATGGACAGTATCTCTGAGTGAAGTCTGGGCCATATGCAATTATTCTCAACCACAGAAGAGAACAAAATAGTTATAGTAACAGGAGAGGTAATAATGGATTGAATAATAATTGGCAAACGATAATTTGTAGAAATAACAATAAGAGGAAAGAGAGAAATAATGGGATGTTTTAAGTTTTTCTTACATCTTGTACCCCAAATGAAAAAGAAAATATTGCAGCCAGAAGTTATCACTCTTAATAACCTAGTCATCTTGGTTGTACAATAACTATAGTCCCCGTGCCCCTGGGAAGCAGTGAATCAATTGTGTGTTCTGGGACTTCATCAGGGAGAAATCTCTCTTTTTCTTCTCTTTCTACAATGGAGTGGGGTGTCTTTCACTGTTCATACTTTCAAAAGGAAAAAAGGAAATCTCACTGACTGAATTCTAAAAAACAATTGTGGGTAATATCTGTCATTACTTCCTATAAATAAAAGGGATTTTGTTGAAAAACAATTTTGGCTGAACTCTTAGAGTTCTGAAATTTTTATTCTCTGATTTATTAAAAAAATCAACTTATCTTAAGCAGACTCCCCTCCCCCTAGGCTAAAGGCATATGCTATGGAATTGAGTGAAAGGGTTAGAAAGAAAGGCTGGGAGCAATTGTTAAGGTTCAGAAACTGAGAGTAGATTTTATAGTCTATGGGGAAATCTCTGAAGGTTTCTGAGCAAGGGGTCAGCATAATTTATCTGAAAGATTCCTTCTAGCTCTAAAACACTATGATTTTATTATTTCATGGTTGCAAACTGCTTGAGATAAAGATCCTTAAGAAAAAAAATGCTTATTGATTTGCCTAGCCTGCCATTGTGCTAGATGTTTTCACAATCATTATCTCACTGATTCTTGAAGTGAGAGGGAGAAAGAGACAGAAACAATATTACCCTATTGAATAGATGAAGAGGCTTAAGCTCAGAGTATTAAGTAACTTGTCCATTGTCACAGAGCCAGCACATGGCAAAGGCAGAATTTGAACAAAGGTATTTCTGGCTCCAAAGTATAGTCTCCTCTACTCTTCCCCACCCCCACTTTTCTACTTCTCACTTCTGGAGAGTGTCCATGAGTCCCTTGTTGTTTAAGGTTATAACATACAATAGTACATGCTGACTGTCTCTGTTCTGGTGGGTTTTTTGCTCTGGTACAAGGCGGGGTGAGATGGAGAGGACTGTGGTGCCTTTTGAGAGAGTGGGGGAGCGAGTAGAAACAGGGGAGGATGCAGGTGAGGATGGCCCTGCAGCACCATCCAGAGATTTGTGGCAGCAGGAATGAGAAAATGGGCCCTGAGAAAGAAAAGCCCATGGCGCCGACCCCGTGGCGTAGTGGTTTAGTGTGCGCGCTCCACTGCTGGCAGCCCGGGTTCGGATCCCGGGCGCGCACCGACGCACCGCTTGTCAGGCCATGCTGTGGTGGCGTCCCACATAAAGTGGAGGAAGATCGGCACAGATGTTAGCTCACGGCAGGTCTTCCTCAGCAAAAAGAGGAGGATTGGCATGGATGTTAGCTCAGGGCTGATCTTCCTCGCAAAAAAAAAAAAAAAAGAAAGAAAAGCCCAGGGCAGTGGGTCATATGAGTCAAAGCTGGTAGTCTGGAGACTCGGCCATGTGGTCTACAGCCATGTGGCCTGCTGTACCTTGGTTTCCTCATTCATAAAATGAGGATAACAAAAGCCGCCCTCCTCTCTTTCCGGTGCCATGTGGGGCAAAGGAAGGTATATAGGCCACAGATATAAAAAACCATTGTAGGTTACAGAGTGCTATCTAAGTAGTAATTTAAATTATTTTTCATGTTTGAAAGGTGGAATTTTTATATCTCTTTTTCTGAATGTCTCTCTCCTTGGGGTGGCACCATGAAAATTGTCAACTGATTTCACGGAACTATTACAGTTGATTTAGAAAAAAATCACTAATAAGAGGTATAAAGTATTCAGCCTCTCTCTCTCTCCTTTTTTTTTTGTATTTGAGAGACAAATGTCATTAATAATGGATTGCTTTGTATTGATACAGGTTTGCTCACAAAGCACACACAGGACTTTATGTGTAATATTTTCTATATCATCAAGAGTAGGCTAGGTTTTTCCTTAGAACCAAAGGAAATTTCTTCTTCTCTGATCCTTCTGCCCTTCTTATCCAGCTTAAATGCAGTTATAGAGAAAATATATTTTTTTTGGTACTGGCTGCTTCACTTTGGTTGCACAGTTTGGGGAAATGAAGTAGAGAGGAAATGGCTCTGCACAGAGAATGATAAGTATCTCCCAATTCCTCCCCATTTCACTAGTAATGCCAAGAGGTGGCATGCACAGAGGAGCACCCAGAACTACAGAACCCGTAAGAAAGTCTTGCAGTAGCATGGGACTTCTCTCCTAAGTCCCAGGGTAGACTGTCCATGGTAGACAAAAAATTAGGTGACTTTTGCCTCTTTCCTACTCTTTGAGTTGTAGGTGTGGAAATACCATTATTGAATTTTAATAGATTATCATGAGTCATGGCCTGATTTTCCACCCTCCCAAACTGTGAGACAAATTATTAATTAGCAGGTAATGTTTATTTATTTCCTAGCACATCTTCAGTTTCCTCCCTCTCTCTCTTCCTTCCTTCTTTCCTCCCTCCCTCCCTCCATCTTTTTCCCCCTCCCTATCTTCTCTTCCTCCTTTTCTTCTCCTCTTTTTCCCTCCCTATTTCTGTCTCTTCCTTTCTCTCCCTCCCTTCCTGAGGACACAAGAGGGGCAAGACCCAATCCTGCCCCCACAGAGTTTACCTCCAAATGGAGAATTTTCTCCTTTTCAACCTTGTTTGTGTAACTTTCATAAAATAACCATGGTACGCACATAGTTCTTCTCTTCACACCAGAGTATGAAGGCCATCTCTAGCCATGTACTTACAGCTATGGAAAACCGCTGAATGTTTTCATCCTCACATTCTTGGATGACCTGATTCAGTCGATGGTTGTCATGGGACTCTCCATCAGTCACAATCACCATGACTTTCTTAACCCCTCTTCGGGCGCCCCTGGCTTCAGTGAAAGCCTCTTTCCTGAAATAATTACAGACAAAAAGAGAAGCAAATAAAGCACCACTCCAAGGTTAGGCAAAGTGATGAACACAAGGAAAACACTGACAACGCTAGGTACCCAGTGCTTTCCCGCCAAGATCCACATTGACGCCCATTGTTCAAGCTGGGAGGCATGATGGTCATTATTTGTAATAGTTTTAGATTTATTCCAGATGATGGAGAGGTCACCATTTGGCTAGTCACCACATATCCCGTATACAAAAGGCAACAGTATTTCATTCTTTGGAAACTTCAAAGGGAGGGTGTGACTGGAACGTACATCAGATTTAGAGAAGGTCAGATCTTAAATACTCTCCCAGCCACTCCCTTCTCTGTAAACACTCCTTCTCTTGCTTGACAGGCCTCTTTTCTTCTGCTTTTGGCAGAAGCTTTTGCATTAGTCCTCACTTCCCCCATACGTACTCTGACATTCATAGAACAGATAGGAGAAAAAATAAACAAATGGGACTACATCAAACTGAAAAGCTTCTGCACAGCAAAGGAAACCATCAACAAAACGAAAAGACAACCTAACAATTGGGAGAAGATATTTGCAAACCATACATCTGATAA